GAATAATCGTATGACTGTTTTATAACTTTTAACAGTCAATGAACTCAACAAAAATAATGTCATATAATTAATAAATTATTTTATAAATTTTAATAGTAAGATGATTCAATAAAATAGTGTTTTATAATTTAAACCGTCAGTGTACTTTAAAAAAAATAGAGGGCATGACCCCTCGAGACTTTTGTCGTTGATAGTTGATTTAATGTCATTAATTGAGATGACCCAATTATTGATTAGAAATTTAATATATTCAACTAACTGATCCCATCCAATTTTAACAACAATAATTTATAAAAAAAATATTTTTATTGAGGGAAATGTCATCGAAGTCCTCCCTGTTTATGGGATGCAGCCTAGAAAATTCAAAACGGTAGGTGAATTATTTAAGCTAATATTTTATTTTATATTCTGAAAATGATATTTAAAACGAATTAAGACATAGTTTTGTCCAGTTTGTGTAAAAGGTTTGGCATTTTGCAGCTACAAATCAGATTCTAACAACACATCACATATACACATAAATTCCAACATTATATATGGCTATCGACAGAGAATCACGTGTTATAAGAATGATAAACAAATGTTTTTATGTATTTAAAATGTCTTATATTAATTAATTATTTTGAAATTAAAATTTTAAATTCGAGTCTTGTTTTGTATCAATTATTGCGGATTTCCATCTTGTTTGGGAATCCAAATTTATTAATATTTTGAAAAAGTCTTTGACTATCAGTGATATAATTTCCCCTATTCTTTAACTCTAAAAACTCGTTTCGAAATCTTAAAAAATAGTTTTGTAAAATCGATTCAGCTTAGGATATATTATTTGAATATTTTAATGCTCCATAAATATAATTCTCATTACTTGTACATATTATATTGTGTTGATTCTCATTGCACATGATCTGGATGTGCTTTAATTTTTTTCTTTATATTTTTGGTTCAATAGGGACGTGCCTCGGCATGCAATTTTGTTATTATATGCATATTTATTATATTACTTCGAATATTTTGATACAATATATTAACACGTGATTTATGTGCTTTGTTTCTTTCTAATTTTATTTTTGGTTCAACAATGACGTGCACCGGCGTGTGAAATTAATAGTAATAATAATAACACTATATACCATTGTACTTTTGACGATATGTCGTTTGCACCATTGAACTTTCAATTGTTCCAGTTATAGCACTAAACTTTGGTTTTAACTTCAATTATATCATTGGTGATGATATGGACAAAACAATATCCTCTTGGTGTGTTATTGATGCTCAAAACGAGGTCATTTTTGGCAATGAACTTTAGGTTATATCGTTTTTTTCACAAAACTTTAAAAAGATTCAATTTCCGACATTTTTCAATTGTCATTAGCAACCAATCGTTACTTGTCATCGGTTGTCATTTACGACAATATCAATATAAAAGTATTCACATTTCACTCCTCTGTCTTCTCATTGGATTGATTTTTCACAAACCCACTCATAATCGATGAAAATTCTTCCAGAGATTTAGTGTGCTAATACTATGATATCCTTTGATAAAGTTAATTTTGATATATGTTGTTCATCTTCTCAATACAACGCTTCTCACCATTCGAATTTTTTAACAAACACCATAAATCCCTCAAATTTGTGAAAACCCCCCAAACCCTTAAAAATGATAGATTTTTTGTTTAATTCCGATGATTTTGAATGAGTTTCATGAAAAATAAATCTTAGGAGAAGAAAAATGAATGAAATATGAACATTTTAATATCGATAATGTCGCTAATGACAACCACTTCTGGGTGGTGATTGGTTGCTAGCAACGATCGAAAAAGTTCAGTGCTCAAAACGATATCATTTTGAATATCAAGAGTCACACCAAAATAATATCATTTGACCATGTCATTACGCCGTGAAAATTTAACAATCCAATGATATAGAAGCCAAAACTAAATTCCAACATTTTAATTAAAACAATTGAAAGTTTAGTGATATAAATGTATACCCTTAAAATTTATCAGTACCTAGTGTAGTTTATCATTATTATTATTATTATTATTATGTATATTTGTTATATTAAATTTGAATTTTGGAATATATATATATATATAACCTATATCTATTAACGGTAGAGGATTAACATTTTGAAAATAAAAATAGAAAATTAAATTTAAAACTTTGAAGAATATTTTGGGGTTTTCCATTTTTAAATATTCCTCCCATTTTTATGATTTTAAAATTTTTATATTCTATGACTAACCCATGATTTCTTTTAATACACATGGATGACTAGCCCATGATGTTTTGAATACAAATTGATGAGTGGTCTTTTTGAATCTTATGCTATTATTGTAAAATATTAAAGAAAAATACAAGTTGCACATATAAATAATAGTAGAAGATTTTATCCATATTCGAATCAAAGATTTGTCCCATTCATTATTATTGTGTTTCCATTACTTCTACTATCGGCAGCGTTGACTTGCTTCTCAAGACGGTTATTATATAATTTTATTATTTATATTTTGATGCACTAAAGTTTTTAAAATTATATATTTTCAAGAAATTGGATTATGACACATTTTTAAAAAAAACTTAATGAAAAAATAGATTTTAAAGTCTACGTTTTCTTATTATACATGTTCATAGTTTTTTTTAATTAAAAAATTTGTCAAAAACAAAAAATTATAAATCCAAAAAACACCTTTATTTCAAGAACTCATTTATTCTCAATACATCAATTTTGATTTATGTCTCTTTATAAAAAAAAATTATAAATCTAAAAAGTTTATCCAATAATACTTCGATTATAAAATATATATGGGAAACTAAAATTGAATATACATTTTTGAAATATGAACTTTCAGCAAATCAAAATGAACGAGTATACTTTTTTATACTATTATTGCGAAATATTAAAGAAAATTACAAATTGCACATACTGTACATGGTTTTTATATATTATATCTCTTGATCCTCACTACACATGAGCTGGATGTGCTTTGAGTCGGTCCTCGGAATGTAATTTTTTATTATTATATATATTTATTATACTAACTTTAAATATTTAAAAATTACTTTTTTAAAGGCAAGTTGTGTGAAATTTACACAAACATGATTATTTGTATCATAAAATTTTAATTTACAGATTCATTGATCTCTGTACTAGAGATTATTGGGATTTGAACTTTTAGCAAATTAAAATTCAACCACTATTTTTTATAATAATATTTTCCAAATAGTATTAAAGAGAATTACAGGTTGCACGTATTGTACCTGGTTTTTATATATATTATACTCTCTTGATTCTCACTACACATGACCTGGATGTACTTTGATATATTTATCTATTTAATTTTATACTTTTTACATATTTAGGTTTTATATTATTTTATTTTAATCGGTCTTCTATTTTCTAATAAAATTGATATATATTTTTAGAATTTTTTAAAAGTTGAATTAATATCACCTCATCAATTAACGTTTATTTGTTTTTTTTACTGATTTGCTCCTATTTTAGTATCTCAGACTAGTTCTCTTATATTAATACACGCTCGTAAAATTAGATTCAAATTCATAAAAATAGTTTTTAATTTTAAAGTTTGGAAGTATAGGAGTTATTGAATTGAATAAATAATTTTTGTTAAATAACTTTTCTCATTTAAATTGTACAAATCAAATCAACATTTAAATAACTCGAATAATTTAAATAATAAAAAGTATATACATAATATCGGTTGAACATTCCTATATATAAGTTTTTCATTAACAAATGTGATACAAAATATTAGTTAATGAGATTCATAGATAAATTCATGTAGAAAAATTAAGAATTTGATCAAAAGGGAAACAGAATCACAGATGGTAGAACCAAAATAGAACAGAAGAATGAAGCAGGAATATGACCTTCACCTTTGATGTTGAACCAAAAGACCATTCAGAAGTGGCCGATCTAAATCCGCACCATTCTCTGCCGCCGATCTCTCATGCCTCTGACCACTGCCATACCCAAATATATATATACACATAAATACACATGTATGTACTTACCTACGTTGGTCAGTCATTGAGGTATTATGTATATGAAATTCGATACATTAGTTATTCATCTTATATAAATTACTAACGCATTCATGTATTCGTACTATATTCATGTTATTTTTTCGCTCGACTCCTATGAGACAACCACTTGAAAGAACAATCTCTTTTCTTAGAATCCGTTGTTGCTGAAATTGTATCATTATGGCATAAATTATATCAATAAACAGAAGTAAAGAAGCATAGAGACCTTACACTTGTAGACTGGAGCTCCGTAGTAGTTGAATACTCGGCTCCCTGCAATGGGAAAGATCAAAGTTCAATTATTGCGGTCCAAGTTTAGATCATAAGAAAAATGTGATGCAGCTTGATATACCTCCTCAATCAGCAGATCCTTTCTAGTGATCACACCGATCACTCGAGATGCACGAGGAACAACAAATATGTGTCTCAATCCCAGTTGTCGGAAAAGATTGTAGACCTATATCACCACAAACATTGAAACTTTATAAGATACAAGAAGCATAGACCGTAGGAAACAAACACGATTACCTGAGATAAAAAAAAAAAAAAAAACTCACCTTTGTTAATGACATATCTTCAGGTACAACATACGGTGAAGGATTCAGAAATGGTGCAAGATCTATGTACATTTCTAAATCTTCTGAACTAAGATAGATATCATTTATTGATATTCCTTTACTCGAAACAGGTTTAGCAAATTCACTGTAATTAGGCCTGTCAATAACGGGATATTTTGTCATAAGCTTAAATGAACGAAAAGAAAGAATGTCACAATAAAATCTTAAATACAGTAAATTTCAACTCACCTAATTGCTCTGGATCCACCTGTGGAATGACAGGGTAAAGGACTATGCTGGAAATCAATCCTGGATTGAAGAAGTACCAGTAGAATAACATGCCACATGAGGAACAATCTAGCAACTAAAATCGGGTATGTTACACGGGCGGTAAAGTTATAGCTGAAATCCTCACCTTTGGTATTCCATGATATATTAGGCCAGAACCTATGGCTGCCCGAGCTGTTCCAGCTTCTCCATATGTCATCCACTTGTAACTTGAATGAAAAATATCAAAGTTAAACTAATGAACTTTGACAACCATCACTGTGAAACTCATTTTGGCAATAGAAAACTTACCCTCCAACGTTACCATCGTCTCCGATTCTTGTACCGAGATATTTGTAATCTCGGAAGGTATCAACCGCACGTCTAAAGTGAAGAAACCATCCAAAGTACTTTAATATGAAATCAACAATAAAGAATAGATGCATGGCAACAAAACTACAGACTATCGAATTTGAACCTGGTTCAGCCTGGAAAATGATGATGCTTACACAAAATTATCATGCAATGTACCGATATCGGGATGATTGGGATATCTTGTCACGAGCTTGAACGGAAAGCGAGCAGATCTGTGATAAGGCACAAAAGTATTAAAAGAAAAAATCTTGACAACAGCTGAATAGAGAAGGGGCAATGAAGAGTCTTACCTTTATACATTCCATTTTCCAGACTGCAGTTTCTCTGGCAGCACAACACTATAACCCTGCTCTGCTCAAGAATCAATACCAATAGATAAATCAGATAAAAGAACTAAATGCACATCATTTATTAAAATGGATAAATTGTGTGTGTGTCTATATATATATATATATATATATATATATATATATATATATATATATATATATATATATATATATATATATATATTATGACATTTCTTCCTGTGTCCCAAAATAGATGGCCACACTCAATCGACCATCATCTACACAAAATAAATTGGAGTTGGGCGATTTTCCCGATATATCACCGTTGAACAGTATATTTCTCGATCACGTACCGTTCAGACTATATTTCTCGATCTAACACCCTTTGCAGAAAGATGTGGCCCCTGTAACGTGCTTTATGCTGACATGGTATACACGTGTGTAAAGCGCAGCCCCGGGGGGGCGCATTAGGCCACCTAGGAGTATAGCAGGACAGGGGTCGCGCCTTACCTTTAACACAATTATTAGGCGCGGAACAGGGGCCGCGCCTTATGTAACACCCCAACCCGTACCCGATTCGAATACGAGTCCGAGATGTCACATTGACATTTTAAATCCTTTATTCTTGTAAAATATCAGAACATTTAAACTTATATTAAGAAAATACGACCATATATAGTTCACTTGTGCTTGTTATAAAATTTTGAGTTCAAAAATACGTATTTGTGAACAGTAAAATACGGTATGAACAGTGAACAGTGAACAGTGATGAACAGTGGGGGTATCGATTCCCTGTAGCAGGGAATCGGTTCCCTTTTAAGATACTGGAAAATTTGCTTAAAACGCAGTTACTGTTCACTGCTACAGTAACTTTTGTAAAAATACATAAAAACTCGTAAAAATTTCACCGTTCATTATTATATATTTATATTTACATAAATACGTTAAAAACATTAGAAAACTTGATCAGAGCACCCATAATTTAAAGACTTTATTTACATGTCAAACTATTTATCACATAATAATACATACTTTTTTAAAGTTCTTCTGATCTGATAGTTGTAGAAGTATTGTTGTCCTGAATGTCTAACCTTGCTTGTCTATCTTCTCTGATCCTACGTGTGAAACACTCACACGCTAAGTCATCGACTTAGTGAGGCATAATAATAATGACAATAAAATATAATGAACATGTCATAATGAAATGCAATATCATGAAATCATATATTCAAACCATTTATCTTACCCGTGATCTTATCAAATTATCCATCATGAATTCATATCAATAAATTCAATAAATTCAATAGATTCATTAGCCCATGATATAATACTGAGAACGCGAGGTATGTGAGTACTGTGAGGTTGTGCACAAATGCTGTCACCACAGCTCGTATAAATTTGCACCGAAGTGACACGTAGAATTTGTCCCAAAGGACCGCGTAGAATTTTGCACCGTAGTGCCATATAATATTGTCCATAAGGACCACATAGAAATTCCTTAAGAATCATATACATATACGAAGGATCAAGTAGATGTCTCAAAAGACCTCATACATGTTCCAAAGAATACATATATGTCCCGAAGGACCACGTAGAATTTGTCCCGAAGGACCGCGTAGACCCTCTACTCTTGGCATACCAACTATACCTATAGTTCTCATCTACATAACATGGGCTTATACATTTCCCGTAGTTCATATCGTGTAGACATATTATTTCCATACCTTTATCACATAGGCATATCATTTACATACCTTTATCACATAGCTCATATAACTTTTTCTGCATATATTCATGTCATGTAATACATATAATATGAATTCATGTCATGTATCATAATATGGAATGTGATCATATGTCAAAATATGGAATCTAGACTTATCACAAGTCTAGAACTGAATATACTACTATATTCATGCTATGCATATGCACTCACCTAAATTTCTTTGCCTTTCCCTCGATCAATCTTACTTGTCCCTTGTTCCGGAACTCGTTTAGGCTCGATATCTACACGAACATAATTTATGAGATAATTATCAAAAGCCTAAACCTTATAATTTGATACTAATAGCTTAAATGACTTAATGAACCAAACTTTAAATTTTTATTTTAGGGGGAATCGATCCCCCCCCAAGGGGTATCGATTCCCTCTGTAGAATCTGTAAATTTTCATCCAGAAATTTACTGTTCAAATCCGAAAATCATCTATTCTTAACTAAATTTTCTCATACAAAACTCCTTTCATACCACTAATTCAACTACAACCATTTTAACTAACTTCTATAATTCACACACCTTATTATCTCCAATACTTCATTCAAATTCTTAAAGGTAAGAATCATACACAAATTTCAACATGTTCTAAATCCAATTCTAATACTCCATATTCCTTAATTAACTTCTTGACAAGTCAAAAATCTTATTCAAACTTCAAAAACTCATCCTTATCAAAATTTCATCTAAAAACCCATTTTTAAAATCTATCTCTAAAACATTTATCTTGTTGTTTTAGAACAAATTAAGCTTTCCTTAAGCTTAATTAACACCCAAAGAATCAAAACCCTCTTTAAAATTCCAGAAAATAACCATAAAAATCAAACTTACCTTATGCTTGGGGTGTCTCTCGTTGAAGGAGGAAGAAGATGAAGAAGATAAGTTTCTCAAAACTTATCTCTTCAATTCATCTATTATAATACCCACAATTTATTATTTTATTCTTTTATTTGCTCAATGACCCTTTTACCCTCTTACTTTTCCTTCACTTATTAATTCATCCTACACCAACATCTTTTAATTAATTCCTTCACTTTTTGATTTATTTAATTTGATCACTGAAATTTTAAAATCTTATACTTAAATTACTAACCCGGTATTGAGGATGTTACACCTTAGCTTTATCTGATATAATTATGTAAGGCGCGGTGCAGGTACCGCATCTTGTAGTTTTTTCCTGGCTATAAATACCCTTTCCTCGGGTAACTCCTCACATCTCCTCTTGATTAGAAAAAAATTAATACAACAATCCAACAATCTTCTCATATTTAATTCAGAAGTTCGTGCGAGTTTTCGTTATAAGGTAATTTTGTGATAAATTTTTTTATTATACTTATTGTTTATTATGATTATTTGAAAAAAATATTATACTAATTGTTGTCAATTAATTTCTGTGTTTGTAAAATTAGAAAGCGGGAATATACGTCGAAATATTTTTGTGGTACAGGTAATAATATAAAATTATATTATTTAAATTATTTACGTTTATGTATAAAAATTTTATTGTGTTATATTTTTCGTTCATATATTATTTATTTAATCAACATTGTTTTAGTTTTTTTTTGCAGATGTAATATTACAGCACTTTTAAACTCAAAGAATGGTTCGACTTTCAACTATTATTTATTATGATGGAGAAATTCGAGAAGATGAAACCGACGTTGTTTTCGTATTAAATGAGCGTGTTAAAATATCATTGAAGAGAAACATAACTCTTGAGGAGCTGATAACGAAGATTTCGAGGAAGATTCATGTTGGAAGTAGTAGAAGAATGTCGTCGTTGTAGTATAGATTTCCAACATCATTGTTGCACCCATTCAAACTCAGGTGGGATCACCGTCTCACATCATCATTAAAATATAGTACCCATTCAAACTAAAACAAATATATATAATTTTTATCAAAATAATAATCTAATTATATAACTATAATCTAAAATCGATTCTTAAACATTTAAATTCATACTTGTGTGTCAGCCTTCCGATCGATGAGCACCCTAATTTTTTTTCTAAATCATCAGGTAGCTCCTGATGATTTCTCCTATCAGTAGACCACCTATTCAAAAAAAAAAATTTATACGCTATATAAAATGATTAATACACGAAATAAGTTTTATAATTACCTCAAGAGTAGCAGAAATACGAATGGGTTCTTCACAACGGGACATAAAAATGGCAATTGATACCATGCCCAAGACTGCGATAGCATTTCTCCTGTAGTCAGTGGCTCGACACATCTCCCTGTACAATAAAGCCAAAACTGTCGAGCCCCAACTGAGTAATCCGGCCAAACGAAAGTCGACAAGATGTCACAATCACATACAGTGAACTAAGATAAAAAAACTCACCTTTGTTAATGACATATCTTCAGGTACAACATACGGTGAAGGATTCAGAAATGGTGCAAGATCTATGTACATTTCTAAATCTTCTGAACTAAGATAGATATCATTTATTGATATTCCTTTACTCGAAACAGGAACAGGTTTAGCAAATTCACTGTAATTAGGCCTGTCAATAACGGGATATTTTGTCATAAGCTTAAATGAACGAAAAGAAAGAATGTCACAATAAAATCTTAAATACAGTAAATTTCAACTCACCTAATTGCTCTGGATCCACCTGTGGAATGACAGGGTAAAGGACTATGCTGGAAATCAATCCTGGATTGAAGAAGTACCAGTAGGTGACTGCATTATAAACAAATGCAGCAGTTAGTTCTTTCGAGTGTGCATAGGCTCTACAAAATAAAGATTAAAACTTCAAGGGGCAAAAATAATTTACATTGTTGTACCTTCGAAGCATAATTCCGATGACAAGTGGTTCTCCATTTCTCGTGTGATCAACCACCTAGGTAGGGTGAAATTAAACAAGTTTCAAAATTGCTGATATTTAACTAAAAAACAAGTAATATGGAAGTTTAGCTTACGGGAAAGCCGTTATGTTTATTGCTTTGCAAAATGGAAACCACATCTGAAACCTTTACAATGCGAGGAAGTGAAAGAACTTGTGAAGGCATAAATATAGGCTGTTTAGGACTTGGGGGTCAAACCATAGGAGCCAGGTCTAAGTTGTACTGTTTTAAGAACATAATTGTTCACATATTTCTGAAATTTAGTGATTATGTTGGCTGACTTTAGGCTAACAGTAAGATTATTTCCCTAGATAGTTTTTTTCCAATTCTTCAAAGCTAATACACACAAATGAGAAGAATTCTCTTTTTAATTTTCGTCTTTCTCTCAAATTAACACAATCAACAAACCTTCTGGTTCCCACAGACTTCCTGGGCAGTCATTTTCCGCATCTCGTACTTGG